CTTACAATAAATAATTGAATAACTTTTTTATTTTAAAATATTTAAGTAATTTCGCTTTTAAAACATAATGATTATATAATTTCTCTAAATATTATTTTTAGAAAATTAGAAAATATATAAATATATATATAAATTATATTATTTTTTATTTTTAATTAATTATTCCTAAAAATAATAAAAATATTTATATTTTAATGTAGTAAAATGGTAGATAAACGAAAAAGACTCATAAAAATAAATTTAAAAAATGTGAAACTTGTAATAAAATAAAAAAAATATAACATAAACTTATTAATGAATTCAAGCAAAAAATAGAAACTAATCAATATTTGATTTAAAAAAGAACAACAACTTGTCTAGAATAAAAAAAAACATATTCATCCAGAACATAAACTCAAGAATAAATAATGGAGAGAAAAAAACATATACTCATTATCAATAAGTCAAGAAACCCATCAAGAATAAACTCAAAGAAAGAAAATAAACTCATTAGTAATAAATTCTAGAAATTTATCTAGAGTAGATTTAAAAACACTGATTCATTAAAATGAATTGAAAAAAAAAAGGATCAAGAATGAATTGTATGAAGAATAAAAACTCATCAAAAGAACGAATGCACTATCTTTAATAAAATTTTCACATTAGGGAATGTATTTTTACTAAATATATTAAAATAGTGATCTTGCATTTGCTTCGGTCGACACTTCTGTCTTGTATTGCCGAAGATGAAGTCATGATTACAAAACTTTAGACATATAAAACTATCTCAGTCAGTATACATTTCATGCTAAAAATAACTATTTTTAATAAAGTTACTTACAAAATCATTAATGTTAAGAAAAAGATAATAACGGAAGATAAGAATATTTTAATGATGATAAAAAGTAAAGTCCAAAAATTCCGAATATGCAGATGTTAGAAGACTTATTGTTTAGTTTTAAGTTTTTGTAAAAAAAATTTTATAGTTTTGTATTGGAGTTAGTTTAGAAGAATACACAAGTATAAGATCATTTAGGAAATAGGTTTATTTAAAAATATTAGTATAAAAATAGCATATATTATCAAGTGTTTAACGTTCAATGAATGAATAATCAACGTAAAAAAATAAACGGTGATAGTTTTGTAAATAAAATGTAATTATAAACGTCAACTATAGGGGTTTTCGATATCAAATATGTATTAGATGTCAGTCCCTCAGGTCAACCGTTAAATTCTTTGCCAAGACAACTGAAAAATCACTATTTTATTGACGGGTACGAAAAAAAGGTACGAAAATCCCAAAAGAAGCGCCAATATACTTCTTTTTATGAATTAAACGTTGACTGGGGAGGGGGGCTGACGTCTTATAGCATTTAGACATTGTGGGGTGGGGGTGTCTGACGTCAAATCCCCTATTTTTCACCAACTCCATAACGTGAGCATCACTTACGTGTTTTCTCTCGTTGTTTCTTATCTTCTTCCTCTTACATTCGTGTTTGCCATTAAAGTGCAGATATGTATTCTTCAACTTTGCACCGTTTAAAATCATTTTGCACCAATTAAATTTCATTTAGACCCATTATATTTCATTTGCACCGACTAAATTTCGTTTTCATTGGCTTATGGTGTAGTTTTTTGTGCTCGAGTTGACAGTCCTCGGTGGCAACACTTTCCCTCTCCATTGCTTGTGTCCATTTTGCATTGCTTCAAAACAGTTTCTTCCCACTCTTTCAATGATATCCATTTTCAACCCTTCAAGAAGGTTAGAATTTTAGTTGGTTATTGGTTATTAGTTATTGGATATGTAATTGGTTATTTCTTATTGCTTATTAGTTATTGGATATGTATGTGATTGGTTATTGAAGATATGATTTTTAGTTATTGGATATTGGTTATTTGTGATGTGATTTTTAGTTTTTTGTTACACATTGTCTCTTGAGTATGCATGATTGATTAAGTTTGATGTGTTAATTATGATTTTGATGTTAAACATTTTAGATTGAATTTTTGCAATATATTGTTGATTAAATTTTGTAGTATGAAATTATTGAGTGAAACTTAGTTCCCATTTGGGATTTAACACAAACGATTAAACTTTTAATTGTTTGTATTAAATTTTGAATTGTCCAATCGGACAGTTTGGAAAAATTATTTTTCATAATTTGTTATAACATGTACATTAGAGTTTATGGATAAGTTTTATAAAATTTCGATTGATATTATTTGTATTGTTCTTCATATGCATATTTGTTTGTGATCATTCGTGACCATTTTCATTTTGTGTATTTCAGAGACGAATACGAAATGTTGCCGAAATCTTATCAAATTTATCGTGTTATACTAGAAATTATGAAAAATCATTTTTCCGAATGGGTAGGGCCTAACCTTGTGAGAGTTAAAAATTTGAGACTGATTAAATTTGTTACGAACATAATATGGATCGAAGCTGCATGAATAAATGTCACATTAATCAAGAATATGAAAAAGGAGTTTCAGAGTTCTTGCAATATGTTTAACAAAATGCAAACTCTATGAATGGGACATATTTTTGTCTTTGTGTTTGTTGTCTTAATTAAATACTTCAAAACTTAGGCAATATGTGTGACTATCTATTCATGTTCGGTACAATGAGAACTTATACCATTTAGACTTGGCATGGAGAAGTACTAGACAAGCCTACAACGTCACAACGAACAAATTATGTGGAAGAATGGTTGAGTGATCATTTAGAGGACATGATACGTGATGTTGGTGAAGAAAATTTTGAAAGAGCTAATTTTTATGATTGTCTTAAGAATGATTTAGAGCAAGAGTTGTATCCAGGATGCTTCAAATTTACACGTTTGTTTACAACTTTGAAGTTGTTTATTTTAAAAGCAAGAAATTGATGGACCGATAAAAGTTTCAGAGTTGTTGGAGTTATTGAAGAAGATGCTTCCAGAAAATAGCACTTTACCTTTCCATAATTACGAGACAAAAAATTTTTTATGTGCAATGGGTCTGGAATATCAAAAGATACATGTTTGTCCTAATGATTGTGTTTTTTACATAAAGGAGTTTGCTTCACTAAAGTTGTGTCTAACATGTGGTTTATCATGGTTTAAAAAGAAAATTTACAAGAAACAATGGTGATGAAGGTAATGATAGTATACTTGCTAAGGTGATGTAGTACTTGCCTATAATACCTAGGTTGAAACGATTGTTTTCATGTGTAGGGTAATTCTTCTCATGAGTCTTCAACTGCCGAGAACCATAAGCAACTGTCTTCCTCTCTTGCATAAGTACACATCCCAATCCTTGATGAGAAGCATCACATTAGACTTCGAACGGTTTGTCCGTTTCAGGAATAGCCAAGACTGAAGCACTCGTCAATTTCTGTTTTAGTTCTTGAAAACTGGATTCACACCGATCGGTCCATACAAAAGGTTGATCTTTTATGGTCAGCTAAGTCAACGACGTTACTATCTTAGAGAAACCTTCAATAAACTGCCTATAGTAGCCCGCTAATCCCAAGAAACTTCTAACTTCAGTGACCGAACGGGGTATTTCCCATTGAAGTACAACTTCCACTTTAGCCGGATCCACCAAGATAACTCCAGCTGATATCACATGTCCTAAAAATTGTACTTCTTTCATCCAGAATTCACACTTGGATAGCTTCGCATATAACTGATTTTCTCTTAGCAGACCTAGAACTATCCTCAGATGTTCTTCATGTTCTGCTTGGTTCTTGGAGTAGATAATGATATCATCTATGAAAACGACCACGAACTTATCAAGGAATGGTCGGAAAATACGATTCATGTAATGCATGAATATGGCCGGGGCATTTGTAACACCGAACGGCATCACTACATATTCGAAGTGACCATACCGAGACCTGAATGCAGTCTTCTAGATGTCTTCTTCCTTAACCAATACTTGATGATATCCTGACCTGAGATCTATCTTTGAAAATACAGTAGTCTCATTCAATTGATCTAACAAATCATCAATCTTTGGCAAGGGTACTTGTTTTTTATGGTCAGCTTGTTCAATTGCCTATAATCCACATAAAGCCGAGAGTTGTCATCCTTCTTCTTAAAAAGTAGCATAGGAGCACCCCACGGTGATGCACTTGGCCGAATGAACTGCTTGTCCATTAAATCTTCAATTTGTTTCTTGAGCTCGGCCAACTCTGCTGGAGCCATTCGGTATGGTGCAATTGATACCAGCCCAGCTCCAGACACCAGGTCAATAGAGAATTCCACTTCTCTCGGAGGAGGTAATCCTGACACCTCTTCAGGAAAAACATCCATGAATTCCATCACAACTGAACGATTTTCACTCTGTCCATCATGTACCGAACGGTTTGAACTTGGCTCTCCTTCAATCACTTCCAAATGGGACAATATCAAGAAGCAACTAGCGCCTTCCATTAAGTCTACCCTCAGTTGACCGATCGACAACGACAACTTCTCCTCTTCACTAGGGAAAATTAGCTTTTTCTCTCCACAATCAATAAGGATGTGATTGGCAGTCAACCAATTCATTCCTAGAATTACCTTTAAACCTTGGAGAGGTAAGTAAATAAGGTTCACCTTAAATCTATGCCCATCAACCTCAATAGGACATCTAATGCAAACAGTAGACGTCTTAACCTCACCAACTGCTAGGGTAGACACCACCAAGTCCAACTGCATCTCACTCTCGGTCAATCCCAATTTCTCAACACATGCCTTCGAGATGAAGGAATGTGTTGCCCCCGAATCAAATAACACACAACAAGATACACCAAACAACAAACAAGTACTAATAATGAGGTTACCTGAACTTGCTGCTTCAACACCAATGATAGCATAAACTCGACCGGCCGCTTGTGCTCGGCCACCCCTTCCTTGTTGAAATCTTCCAGCGTTTGGTGGTCTCAAAACTGCTCTCCTTCCCATGTTACACTCACTCTCTATATGACCATTCTTTCTACACCGAGTGCAAAATTTTCCTCCAACCAACCGAGGACATGACGATTTGTAGTGAGGCCCTCAGCAATTAAAACATGCCATTGTTCCTTGCTGTCCAGACTGACTGACCAGACCTGATAGCTGAGAAGATGGAGGGCGAGTATAGGGAGTTTTCTTCGGACCCGTACCGTTTCTGGAAGAGATCGGTCCTCTAACAATCTGTTGTTGTTGCTTCTTCTGTTGTTCTACCTCAAGTATATTCTTCTCTAACACCTTGGCCCTCTCCACCATTGGAGGAAAAGACTTAATACATAGACTTGAGATCAGCAGTTTAATGTCACTTCTCAACCCATTTTCGAACTTTCGACACTGCCACTCTTCATTGGTAGCCATAGTATTAAACCTCACTAAATGTTTGAACTTATCTATATACTCAGATACAGACATTCCTCCTTGAACCAGTTGAAGAAATTCTACCTCTTTAGCGAACCGAACGCTATTAGGAAAGTACTCTTCATAAAACCTACTCTTGAATATCTCCCAAGAGATGGGAATATGAATTCCTTCTAATATTAGCTTCATGCTATTCCACCAATGACTGGCTTCCCCAGTCAATAGATACTCGGTAAACGCCAGCCTATTGTCATCTAGACACCTCTTTGCATTGTAAATCCTCTCCATATCACGTAACCACTGATTGACCTCATCTGGTAGGCACTTCCCATTAAATTTAGCCAGATGATGTTGAAGAAAGCTCTCTAAACTCCATTCGGTCTGATGAGTAGCAGAGGAAGAGGACGTTCCAATTGTATTCCTAGTGGTGGATATGATCTCCATGACTTGCCTTTGAGTCGCCTCTGAGTTTGCTCTGGCAGCCTCCAAACTTTGTAACGCTGCTACATTCTATTGTACTAGGGCAGTGTTCTGTTGCTGCAGAGCTTCTATCACTGACTCTAACAATCTGATGTTGTCAGGTGTATCCCTATCGGTAGGTTGAGGAGGAGGTCTAGGTGCCATCTTCTCTGATTAACAAAGAAAAATAACCATCAGTTTTATTCAAAAGAGTCCAAAACACTCACTAACCGAACACTGAGTACACAGCAAAAGCATAATATACTCATACCCTACAGTATTCTTAAGGAATAAAACTGTTCTAATACCATTAAATGTAACATCCCAAAAATACAGCATAAGCCATATCCAGAATATTCACATTTTAACAATATTACAGTTCAGTTCTGAGATTAAGAAGTACAGTTCTGGCCGAACGACCTTACCAAAATACTACAGGATTTAAACTTTACAGATCTACAGTCTAAACCGAACGGTTTCCAAGATCACCTGTACCGAACAGTTCTACAAAATAGAAGCAGCAATACTAACCGAACGGTTCTAAGGTTCGGCCTTCACTTCCACTTCTACCAGAGCTTCTTTCAGCAACTCTTCTCCTTCTGCTCACATCCACAGGATGATCATTGCAACAGGACAATACAACCGAATGGACAAAACAGACCAGACAGGAAAAGTACAGGGTAAGCTTATGTAATTTAATTAATTCTATAAAACATGCATTTCACATAAATTTGATATACAATCAAATAATTAATCATGAAATCATCAAATCATACACTTCCAACCAAAATCATATCTCAATGCATGCAATGACCGACCACGTTACTCTGACTGTCCGAACTGTATGAATTATGTGTAGCTACGACGTTTTTGCACCCGAGTGATGTAATAACTGAGATATCCTCAACAACTGTCACCCGAGGTTAGTCCGTTTCGCCCAAATTCACCTTATGGTCTAGGACCTCCTGTCATTCCCACACATGAGTTACCCTTCTCTACGTGAGAACGAGTAATCACGGAATATCAGGATAAACGCCAGCTAAGCTTTGTCCACATTCATACTTTACCATTCCAATACCATTCATGAGATATTCCTCCTTGGAATTCTCTTTTACATCCATACCATTCCATTCATATCACATTTCCATTATCATCATACTTTAACATTAACACATTCAAACTGAATTAAGACATAACCCATTTCCAAAACAAGACCGAATGAACGACCACCTTTAAAACTAATCTAACAGCACACTTAGGGTAAGACCAAGCGGTCTTCCACTTGTACACAAAATAGGACCGAACGGTCCATGTGAGATAAGGGTCATAATCAGCCGAACACTCTTGATAATATTTGGACGTTTACTTGTAACTCAACAGTTACTACAGAACAGTAATTCACTGGACAGAAAACCTAAGAAGGTAACAAATACTAAAGAATAACTATGATTTTAGACTTAACAAAAATTATAATAACTTTTGGTGGAACCTGAGAATTTAAACTAAACCCTCCAAACTTTTGCCGAACACTATCAACTTGGACCGAACGCTTTGGAGTTTAGCCGAACACTCTTAAAACCTAATGCAAATATATTAAGAAATATTATAAGACTGAACACCATTGAAACTGAGCACTTGGTTTATGACCGATCACTACTGAGACCGAATACTGTTTAACGCAGAATATCCGAAGAATACAGAATCCCATAAAGAACCGAGAACTAATACAATACCGAGTATTAACAATAATAATTAGTTTTAGTCTAAGACCGAACACTAAAGAGACCGAGTGCTATTCTCAGATCTCGTACTGTAGAGACCGAACACTCTAGCTATATATATATATATATATATATATA